GGCGTGGGTCACCAGCTAGATAAAAAGGGAGACAGGAAAAAAATGATCAAATATCACACCTCGTAAGATATAGCGACTTCCTCATTTCCCAAAACAAGTTTTCTTTGATCTCATATTGTAGCTTTGCTTGCGTTAAGAGAGGGTATTTTAATTATTCAAAAAAATAGAGGCATTGAATATAGTTCACGTTATTATATTAATTGTTGTTAAAATACAATTGTTCAAAATGACTATTCTCTTCCAGAGATTCAATGTCACTTCTCAAAACCGATCCGTTACTCATGTTCTACATTGGTTTGATGTTTGTCATGCATCAAAAGGTCATTAGTTTGATCCATATTGCTGACTGTTCATTCAATAGTACGTTCATGCTGCCCAGTCATTTGGTTTGTTAGATTAGCATCCCATGTGCTGTTGTTATACTCTCGGTGTACTTTAAGCTCAAATTCTAAATCAAGTTTGTTGAAAGAGCAGCAGGTGTCCACAGAATAACTGGCTCGTAAAAGATAGATGGAAAAGAGTGGCAACCTCCATCTGTATTAGCAACTGAAAGGTGCTACATGGCCCAGGTACCTGCAGTTCCGCAGCTCCATACTTTGACAAACTATTTTTCCCTACCTTTCTTTTGTTCTTCTTGACATTATTTTTTGTGTTTTCTCTTGTTGGTCACTGTTCCAATACTCGCATGAACAGAGAACTATGAACTACTGGTACATGAAATTCAGAATGTATACTTTCTCTTGATGATACAATTTTTCTTTGTTTCAACAGGGAGATGCGATTTATTGAGGCCACTGACAATATTTGTGACAAGGTCCTAGAGTACAATTTACACGCCGAAAGACAAGGAAGTCGCAGGTAGGTTTTTGACACATTGAAATGAATTAGATCAATTCATTTTAGAGTAATACAAATAATAGTCATACTTCCCTTTTTCGTCATTCTCAAATTGAAAATTAAGGTCCCGAAAAAAATGATTCTGGTTCGACCTCACAAAAAAAATGTTTGTTTTTTTCAAAAGTAGGGTTTTGAGGCAATTTGTTTCCACTATACTGCATATAGCAAACGTTTTGCAGGTTTAATCAATCTATCAACAGAGGGCACTGAGCAGTGATTTGGCTCAAACATTTTTTGGTGGTGTGCATGCTGACCATTAATTTTTTTATTTTTTAGGCTTTAATCTTTCCCCAAATCAATATCATTAAAACTGTGCTTTTATTTTGTTTTTCATGAAAATTTTGTTTTTCTTTCAATTTTTTTCTAAAATTTTGACAATTTTGGAATACAAAACAAAATCTTTGATATTCCTACACATTTTATGAAACCATCAAAATTCTACATTTGATGATAAATTTTTATGAATCCAAGTAGAGCTGAACGATTCACATTGCCTGGAATTTTTTTTTGATATCAACAGGTTTGCCAAGGGTCAGAGTGAAACGTTCGAAACATTGCATGGATTGGTAGATAAAGGAGTGAAAGTAGATCTTGGAATTCCGTATGACATGTGGGATTTACCGTCAGCAGAAATCACATCTATGAAAAAATATGTAAGTTTGTATGTGCAGTGTGCTGGAAGATAAACTTTACTTTATAACATTATGGTATAGTACATAGATACCAGAAAGTGACTTTATAAGGCATTTTCAGGGGAAAAGCAAATGTTCATTTAAATGGACAAAGAATTAAATTCGCCACATCGAGTAAAATGAGGAAGTGTTTATTTTTCTGTTTCAAAGTACGTTTCCTCAACAGTCATATTCAAAAGATATGATATACCTTTTTTTTTTGGTGTTCGATAACCTTTATATAAAATTGAAACTGCATTACTGCAATAATTTTCAATTTTCTATAAAACCATTTTTTTGGCCCAAAGAACAGCACTTTCAATCAAAAAACAACTATTGTAAACTACCTTGGTTTTGCAAGAGTCATTCACTAAATTTTGCCTTCATAAATGCCTTAAATTAAATTGCCAAAATTACCAGCATAAAAACAAATTAAGTGGTTTACTGATGTATAACCCAAGTTGAAATTTATATCAAATTCACCTTTTTTTGTTCATATCGGTATTTTGTTTTCATGTTAATTTTATTTTCATTGACGTTAAACAGTCTTTATTTAGTTTTTTATAACTTTATTACATTCTAAATATTCAAATAGCGATAAGAATAGCCCAACACAGATATGTAAATATTGACTTTTACAATCTTCCCACTACATCTCTTTTCTAGTGTGAATCATTGATGGAAAGTTTTGAAGATGACATAGAAGAATGGTATTACCACCATCAAAGTGAGGGTTCCTTGCTGACATATCTGTGTGAAGAAAGGGCATTGCCAAAAGCAGAAACTGGTAAGAATCTTAGTACGAGTTTTGAGTTGTGGCATCATCAGTCTGTTTTTGTGCAAAAATGGGTGGTTGATTTTTAGCTCGCACAAGTTATTCTCTGGTTTCTCTGGTTCCCGACATCAAATGTTTAAACGACAAAATAACCCCCCCCCCTCCACTATGCAGACAAAATTGGAACGTTTTCATACCAGACCGCATATGCTTCTAAAGTAATGGCAGAACTTGAAACTTATCTATTGTCCAAACTCTTTTTTTCCCCAGACCAGAATTGACGAATAATAAACTAATTGATGTATGAATACCACATGGTTTCTTCTCAAAAAAAATATTGAATGTGGAGCAATTTTGTACATCTTATGATGGCCAAAGTGCTTCAAAGTAGTGTATGTTTGACTGCATGCTGGTCGCAGAGACCATGATTTAAGCCCAGAACAAAAATATTTCAGTTTCTGGTTGTCATGTATTTGTGTCTGTTAAAAATTTACACATCACATCCATTTTTAGGTTTTCATGAAAAATCAAAAACATGTTGTAGGATATGGTAATTTTAAAATATGAATATACTTGCAGAAATTTTTTTAGAAGAACTGCGTAGAAACTTTTTTTTATTTTTTGGGGTCTGCTTTATTCATATTTTAGCTCCGCTGTCGACTTTGTCGAGCGGAGCTTATCATATGAGTGATTGTCCGTCGTCGGCGTCTGTGTAAATGTTTTACTTTTTCGACTTCTTCTTGAAAACTACAAGCCTGAATGCTTTGATACTTGGTGTATATGTACCTTGGGTAGACCTCTCTTAGATTTGTTCATTTCATGATGATATCTTCAATTCTCTAATTTTGGTGAATATTTTTGTTATTTTTGGTAAAAAGTGATATTTTTAACTTCTCGTAAAAAACCGCAAGTCCAATTGCTTTGATATTACATATATAGGTACTGCATGTGAACTTCTCTCAGATTTGTTCATTTTGTAATGATATCTTTAATTCTCTAATTTTGGTGAATATTTTTGTCATTTTTAGTAAAAAGTGATATTTTCGACTTCTTGTTGAAAACCGCAAGTTCAATTGCTTTGTTATTACATGTATAGGTACTACATGTGGTTCTCAATTCAGATTTGTTCATTTCATGATTATATCTTCAATTCTCTAATTTTGATGAATATTTTTGTAAATTTTGGTAAAAAGTGATATTTACGACTTCTTGTTGAAAACCGCAAGTCCAATTGCTTTGATATTACATATATAGGTACTACATGTGGACCTCTCGCAGATTTGTTCATTTTGTAATGATATCTTTAATTCTCTAATTTTGGTGAATATTTTTGTAATTTTTGGTAAAAGGTGATATTTTCCACTTCTTGTTGAAAACGGCAAGTCTGATTGTTTTGATACTATACATTTTGTTCATTTTCTAATATCTTCTGATCTTTAATTGAAA